ATATGGTAACTGCTATCATTTGGTAGTTCCTTTTGAGGAACTGCCAAACTTCTTTCCAAAGTGGCTGCACCTTTTTATATTTCTACCAGCAATATATGTGTTCTAATTTCTCCACATTCTTGTTGACACTTGCTGTTATCTTTTTAATTTTAGCCACTCTAATAGGTATAAAATGGTATCTCATTATTGTTTTGATTTGTATTTCTCTGATGGTTAATGATGTTGCGTATCTTTTCATATGCTATTGGTCATTTGTGTGTATTCTTTGGAAATATGTCTACTCAAATATTTTGCCCATTTTTAAATTGTTTTGCCTTTTTATTATTGAGTTGTAAAGGTTCCTTTTCTATTCTGGTACAAGTTCCTTATTAGATAAACTATTTGCAATTTTTTTTTTCTGTTCTGTGGGTTGTCTTTTCACTTTCTTGATAGTGTTACTTTTGGTGCAAAAGATTTTTATTATGATGAAGTCCAATTTCTTTTTTCTTTTGTTGCTTATGCTTATGGTATTATATGTTATATAATGTGTCTAACTCAAGAACACAAAGATTTACTCATATGTTTTAATATAAAAATTTTATAGTTTTAGCTCTTCCATTCAGACATTTGATCCATTTTGAGTTAACTTTTGTGGGTGGTATAGGAAGGCATCCAACTTTACTCTTACATGTGAATATCTAGTTGTTCTAAGACCATTTGTTGAAAAGACTATTCTTTCTGTATTTAATTGTCTTGCTACTCTTGTGGAAATCAATAGACTATAAACGTAAGAGTTTATTTATGGATGCTCAAGTCTGTCACATTGATGTCTGTCTCTCCATGTATAGGTACTCTCTTATCGTGACTGTGTAGCAAGTTTTGAAATTGGGAGCTGTGAGTCATTTGCTTGCTTGCTTTCTTTTTTTATTTTTATTTTTATTTTTTGAGTTGAAGTCTCATTCTGTCATCCAGACCGGAGTGCAGTGGCCGCTCCCGGCCAATGCAGCCTCGACCTGCTGGGCTCCGGCGATCCTT